GAACCATTGCAATGCAATTCATAAAGCATTTTATGTATGGACATAATTGAGAGTAGGTAATTAACTATTTTAAACTAGACCAGAAACCTAAGTTTCAGTGTCACCATTTAAGGACACCAAGCCAGTGCTTAAAAACAGGGGGGTAGATGTTCAACTGTTGAAAATTTGTGTTGCGCCTGTGACTTCCAACCCTTTCAGGGTGTCAGGTCCAAAAGCCCCTCTCTTTATGGATGCAGTGTCTCTTTCATTTTGGACAAGGTATTTTCCAAGTGCATCTTCTCAGTGTGTTGCTGAGCTCCATTTTGAGACAGATTTGAAATGTGCAGATTCTGATGATGTAGCATGCTACCTTCCAGACCCTAGCTGGAGCACCTACTCTCCCACATACCTACTAATGGGACACTTAAGTTTCTAGAATTGAATTACAATTAATTTACATATAGCATGAATTTGCTTGATATTTAATATAAGTTCATTACATGTTGTCCATCAGTACTGTCAGGCGTCCAAATACATCCTAATACATGGAGAATGCCCTTCCCATTTTTGCATAGGACAAATGAGGAACATAAAGGAAGAACATTGACTAGCCACAAACAGGTGCACTGGACAAAACTAGCACTAGCACTATTTCTCCTCTTGTACCGTGTTAAAACAGAAGAGGTATATTCTGAGTGCAGCCCTTGTTATTGGATATTTGGTAATCATGCAAGGTAAATAAAAGCTTTGATATTTTCCCCCATTGAAAATTTGCCATTTACATTAATGGGGGCAGTATGGGGCTGTTGTCACAGTTCAGGGCACCTCCACCTGTATTTCCCCCTTGTAGTCTGCCAAGGGCACGCACTGTAGGCTCCTGCTCCTCAGCCGTCACCTGTCTTGGGTGTAGACCCACATCTCTCTCCCTCCTGACCAGAGTTTTTCCAGGCTGCACAGTTCCCGGCCTACACTGTGATATCCCTATGACAGACTGACAATACCCTATAATAGCCTGAACAAAACTTATGGAATTTAGTTAAACTTTAGTGAATAAAGTTAAACCTTACTGAATTAGATTTAATACCTTTAGGGTACATGGCATTAAAAATGCAATTGTGTATGTCATTCTACCATCTCTAGTGGAGATGGGGAAACACTATGTACTTCCTCCATTATCAATCCTTGAAAACCACCCCCATGGAGACGTGCACATATCCTAGTTCAGAATGGATTCTCTAGGGACCAACAGACAAAGAAAGAATTTTTGGAGAAAGAGCCTGGTTTTAAACAGGCTCATGGTCTTCTTCCTGTTCAAGCAAACGGCCAGGACCCCTGGTCCAAGGAGGGCCCTGCTCCTTATGGTAGGGTTGGAAACACTGAGGCCTACCAATGTCTCAGAGACTGAGTGCTTGTACTGATCTGAACTTGTGCAATAGTGCAATGAACTTGTAACCCCAGGGGATCCCCCTTGAGTGGGGGTTTGAAGAACTGCTCCTGCCAAAATCTATGTTACAGCTGCAGTTAACATAACTCAGCCCTTTAACTCCAGACACATGCCGAATTTTACAAAACAAGCAATATTTAAAAAAAAAGTTGACAGTCCAGTTAAAAAATAAACATTGCTTTATTCACCAATGCATTTTAAATCTCAGTATTGTACACATAGGCTAGTTTAATGCAATGTTTAAAAAATTATCCCAGGATTAGTGAATCATATACATCAGTACGATACTTAACAGTCAAAAATACCAGTCCATTTACATGACAATATCAGTTGGAAGCAAAAGAGGCAAACAGCTGAGTAAGAAAATCTATCCTTCCCTGCCACTTTCTCCTGCAGTCTGAAACTGGCAACATTATTAAACAATTTACATAAAAAAGATAAACCACAGTAATAAATTTGCTAGAAAAACAGTATAGTGTTTTGTGGTTGAACGCTTATTTCATGGTCATTTGCTTATATCATCGCATGTTAAATCTTTCTATAGCACAAATATCACCACTATATTGGGGAAAAAATTCCCGGATCGGGTTACTCTTTATACTTAAAAGCCAATAATCTTCCTCATTTACTAATTCTATTGAAGCAATCCACTGTTGCTGAAAAGTTACAGTAGCTACAACACCAAACTCGTTTCACTGTGGTTAAAGGACACTTTTAGAGACATATATACAGTCATAGTATATATTTTGTACGTTCAATATTAATGTTCAACATCAAAACTAGGTATTCAAATGTACAAAAACCCAACACAGAATATTTAATACTTTCAGATTCCCAGTATGGCTTTTATTTTTGCCACTTTGCAACACCTTTCAGGAAAAAAAATATCATCTGTGAAAGGTTATGCTAATAAAAGTTTGTTGAAACAATGCTTAGCCACTAACAAAGAAAAGGTAAATAGTTAAATTCTGAGACAGCTTAGACCGACCTGTTCTTATGTAACTTTAGCTGTTAATTTCATGATAATTTACTGTCTTTTAAATAGTTTTTTGTGCACACCAAAAAGTGATGCTTTAAAGTGTAAAATATGTGTATGTTTAAAGCTGATCCCAGAGTTTTTCACTTTTCAATATATACTATAGTATGTGAAGAAAACAACCCAATGTTCCTAGAGTATAAGATTACATAGTAAGTGCTCTCCGAAAATGAACTAGAAGTAAGAAATGGGGCCACGTGTTAAATCAGCTTCATTGTTTTACTACCTGGTGCTTCTGCACATCAGTGCTGCATCCTTATCTTTAACTTATTTGTTTCTCTCCTTCTTGTGTTGGCAATGGACAATGCATCTTAAAAAACAACTACATTGCTGGAAACTTTTCAAGTGTGGCAAACTAAGACTTTTTTTTTTTAAACTACAAAGACTTGGAGTAATTGACATTCTCTTAAATCTGCATGAATACAACATCAGATACTGAGTTTACTGGTTTTTAACTTGAAAGCAGACCTTTTGTGCATCTTGTTCAGAGGTTACATTACCATGTTGTATCTTTTCACCTTACTACTTTACACATGCTTTGCCGGTTGCTAACAGTAACAAAATTATGAAAATAATTTAAACTTGAAAATAATATGAAAACTGCACATTCTCCATTTAATTTACAGTATTTGTAAAATATCTGTAAAAAGCAGCAAAGTGCTTGTATCGTTTACTATGGTTGGGTAGAGTATACAGAATTACAGCAATTGTAATGAATCTTTGGCTTATTGCACTTCATAATATAACATACGCTCTTAAGCAGCAGACTAATCTTAGCTATACATGCACTTCTACAATGAATCAGAGTTTTTAAAGTTACATCAATGTTACCACGCAATCTCAGCTCATCACATATACTAATCGCCAATGTTACAGATTTAACTAAGTAGCCCTGGGGAAACCCACGTCAATAAAGATTCTGGGAAGCCTGACTAAGAAAGCCAAGTGAGTATTCAGTCATCAAATGTGGTCAGTTGCCACTCTGCTCTTAAAGCACACCTTGCTGAATTACAATGGAAAGAGATGTACATCTTCTTAACCTTCCTGGCCGGTAGGAGAATCATGTGATGTTCATTCGAGGTAAACATTTTATCATTAGAAATTCTACCAGTAATGTTAGTTCTGCCCAAGACACAGATTTAAAACTCTGTTATAATAATCAGCTAATTAGCCAGGTATTTATTATATTCTTTTTCTGATTCACAAGTTTGCTCTGCTAAAACCAAAAGTAGAACCGAAAACTTGTGGATTTAGTAAACAATGAGTTCTTTAGCTGAAAGGCAAAATAGATGATGGGGGTTTTAGTCTGGTACATTTGAGTAACTATAACTTTCAAAGTGCAGATATACTAAAATTCCAAATATCACTATCTAGCATACTACATTTTGGGAGAATACAGCAAGTTCATTGCGTCTTCAGCTTGCAGTCCACTTCACAGTGCTTTCCACTCTTTTGCATAGCACTGACAAACTGAAGTTTGCATATGTAGCCATTGCTAAGCCAACACTATGCACCGCCATATGGAGGTTCAAAGTTTCATGATGCCTGCAGGTTCACTTTTAAGATATGCTATATCATTTAATTATACAGCTAGCATTTTCACATCTTGTGTAAAATGCATATAAACAAGGCACTAAGCATTGTAAGGTTGATATGTCTTTAAAATATAGTAAAATCAGTAAAACCTTTGTAATTAGAATTATATAGCAAGGGCAGTGCTCATAAACAGCTTGTAGCTATCTTGCACAAATAGCTGACAATTAATATACTTCATACCTTTGCAGACAGCCCCATGACAAAATAAAAAAGGTTTCTTCTTGGCAAGATTAAAAACAAAAAAATTCAAGGGTTCCTACTATCAGGACAATGGCTACATAAATGTACATTGCTTGGCATTTTAAAAATATTAAGAATACTTAACTTTATCGCTTTATAATCACATTCACATACAAACACAATGACATATATAGATCAATTTGTATTACAGTCCAGCTACCCCACACTGGGGTCTGTTCAAAATTCACAGCCCTGTGGTGAATTCCTGAAGAATTTCTGACTAGGCGGTTCAAACCATTTTATCCCTTTGTTGTCATTCTCAGAGATAACATGTGCATAATCAGAAATCATATGACGGGGCAGACCCCTACTAACTTAGTATAGTTTTTCAAATGATGTCTTGTAGAGTTAAGAAATAAAACAGCTAAGTTTCCTTAAATAATGTAGTCTAAACTAAACTATCAAACCCTGGCAAAAGTACTGTAACTAGCAGATTATTCCACAAACTTTCAATGTTTAAACTTTATTACGAGGAAACTCTTTAGCAGAGGAGGATTATTCAGAGTAAAAAATTGAAAATAAATTAAACTATTCTTTTTCTTCATTAGGAGGGATAGCTTCTTCATGGGGAGGGATTGCTCAGTGGTTTGAGCATTGGCCTGCTAAACCCAGGGTTGTGAGTTCAATCCTTGAGGGGGCCACTTAGGGATCTGGGGCAAAATCAATACTTGGTCCTGCTAGTGAAGGCAGGGGGCTGGACTCAATGACCTTTCAAGGTCCCTTTCAGTTCTAGGAGATAGGCTAAATAAATAAATTAATGGAGATATCCTATCTCAATTCTGAGCCTTAAAAAATCCAAAGTAGAATTAAGTCAATATATCTTTAAAACACATGTTCCTAAAAAAATGAATACAAGTTGCAAGCCCGTGAACAAATATTATATATGAAATGTAGTGGATACAAAAAAAGATCATTGTGCCTTCAATGTTAGCTAATTAAGTTGTGATGTTCTAAACACTCATTCTCAATCTTCTCCGTAGCAGGAGCTGTCCAGTACATACCTTGCCATCTAGCTGGGAGCTAGTTGGCACTGCCCCCTCCTTCTCCCATTTAGAAGTATGGGAAGCTCAGGGTAGTCATGACCCTCATACACCTGATCACAACCTCTTGGGGAGAATCACAACCCCTACGCTGGGAATCAGTGTCACAGGATTTCCAAATAATATATTGATTTTTAGACCCATGAGATTTATCCATTGTCCAGACCAATGGGTAGCTACAAAACAGGGAAATTGAGAAATAGTATTTACCAAGCCTACAATACTCAGCAACAGGTGTCTTTTAGAAAAACAAATGTTTAAAATCTTTGGACTGAAAGCAAAGGGTTAAAACTATCATATGGCTTTCAACATACTGCATACTGAGCAGATCACAGATAAATAAGGACTAGAGTTTCAGGGACTAAAATCGGATAGCCCCTCCAGCTACATTGCCTGGGATAACTCCACTTTTCCTTCTGTGGCAATTACTTCCTTTTCCATGTTTTCATACGTCTTGCATTCACATAGTTTCTGCTTCAGCTTATTGAGTTCATATTCATGCAGGATTTTTTGAGTTAAGAACTTTTCACGTTTTATTCTGGCTTTCACCTCTGCTGGAACGTCTGGAATCATCCAGGCCACAAAGAATTTGACAATGAACACAATATGCTGCCAAAAAAAAAAAAAAAAAAAGAGGCAAGGGAAAGTGATGATGATGTATTACAGAATAAAGGAATAATTAGATCTCCAGCTAAAAAAGCACTACATAAGAGCTAGGTATTATTATTAAAAAGAAATTTTCTCTTTTCCTTTAAAACTGAGCATACTGTAATATGACTGTCCTGGAACAATACACATCATGTTACAAAAAATGCTGCTATTTTTGGATTTTATGTACAAATAAAAAGATTATAAAACACCCTTACACTTAAACACCAACTTTGATCCCAAAGTGCTTCATAACAGGTTCAGGAGGAAGAGTGATACCTTCTGAATCGCTAGCACCATTTTGCTGGATCTAGATGGCTCGTTGGAGATAACAGTAGCAGGGTGATTACCCAGCTCCGGCCCTGCAGGGGTTAAAAGCAGCCCTGGAGAGGGCTGTGTCTGGGAAAGGCTGATTGTGGAAGCAGCCACAGCTGAGGCCACCCCCCAATCAGGCCACAGCTGGCCCTATAAAAGGACTGTGAGCCAGGAGCTCAAGGGAGGAGTCTCTCTGTAGTGGTACAGAGAGAAGGACCTGGCTGCCTGGGAAGCTGAGGGGGGCGGTACCTAGGGTAGAGCAGTGCTGGGGAAGGGCAGAGGGAGCTGGGAAGCTCCAGTCTAGCAAAGCCCCAGGCTGCAGGCCGAGTTGAGGGCCCACAAAAGGGTACTAGGACTGCAGAGGGGCAGCCCAGATACAGGCGGAGGCAGCTGGTCCAACCCCCTTGCCGATGATGAGTGGTTTATAGACTGTAGTCAGCCCCAGGGAGCAGGGGCTAGATGATGACTGGCAGTAGCCACTGAGGCAAGATGGGGATAGGAGGTTGGGGGTTTCCCTGGGTGGGGAGACCTAAATTGTGGATTGCTGCGGTGGTTAGAACCCCTGGGCAAAGGGCACCAGGGTCTGGGAGGAACACGGGGGCCAGCGACAGACGAGACATCAGCTGTCAGAGGGTGCTCTGGAGTTGGAAAAGAACAAATTCCCTAGACAACCAGCAGGAGGCGCCGTGCCAGTGAGTCTTCGCCCTACCACAATATCCCATCCACGTATTGACCCAGCTCAACTTGTGAGAACTGACAGGATCGCAGTGGGAAATGCCACGGATGCAGCTCATAAACAATCCCCCTACTCCTTTGATAGCCTGCAAAAGGCTGGCTTACTACTCGAAATGATTGACTTGAGCAATTTTAGCTGCTGCTCATCATATTAAAACACTTTTAGAAAGCAGTACTGCAGTCCTCTCACAAGTAGCACTCCCAACTAAACCAATGGGAGTTATACATATGGGAGGCCTAGTGGTTTAGTTATTTGCTTATTTGCATAAAAGGGTTTAACTCTGCTCTTTTCTTTGGACTGAATCTCTTGATTTCAATGGGAGTCTTGCCTGAGTAAGGACTGAGTGAAAATTGAGGGTTTGGTCTTTATTTTGTACAGCTGACATTTTCTTTGTGTTGCTTATGCAAGCGAATACAGGATATTATCAGCAGTTGTTTGACTTTCATAAAAAGATAGTAACTATATACAGAATGTATAATGTATTGATTTCAGAAGACTGATTGGCACATACCTCCATTATAATGATAAAGGCCATTTTTGCAGCAAGAATGTGCCAAAACTGCATAGTGTGTAAATATTTCTTCTCGTGGCCTGGTGGATATCGATAGTCTCTGTACCTGTTAGATATAAATAAATGTAAAGGTGAAATGTCATATTTAATCTGAGACAGACTACAAGCTCAGTGACATTTACATGCAAATACAGCTGTCATTTAAGGAACCTTTTGATCTTGTTCTAAATGTTCTGTTCTCTTTGGCAGGAACAGGTTGGCCCTCATAACTTGATTCTATTGCCAATTTGCTCAGACACTCTTATTCACAACAACACAGAATGGCTGAGGATGTGTGAGAAGTGAAATTTATACGTGGATTACTACTGTATTCAGGTGGTGACCAAATAATGGACAATTCCTGAATAGCACAATGGAAGCTGATTGAATGGTATCAGAATGGACAGATTTACTGGACAGATCAAGGGCTCAATGTGTGAGCAGGCATGTGTGTGTTCAGCATTAATATCTATGGCAGGATAAAGACAGACTACGGGAGCTTTACTCTGAGTCATGATCTATCTGTAGTGGATTTGTTTTGTATCCGATCATATGTTTCCCTTTTGTCATGGATGTCTCTGAAGTTCCTTCTCCGATCCACAATTCCTTCACTATGGACAAATCCAGGCTTTTTCACCAACACACTGAACCCTTATGGACATAATTCCTTTGCCATTGGAAAAATATGTCTATGCTAATGTACACCAGCTAAGAATATGTCCCAATATGTGTATACAGATATTGGCCCTTCTGTATAAAATGTCAAATACCTCGGCAAAGCCAGGCAGAAGAAGACAACACTAGAGTCATTTTGAAAATGCAGGGCTCCATCATGACAGTGTGAAGCACAACATTGCTCTTGAGAAACTTGTGCTATGCCAGGGCCTTATTCTTTGGGTATTTTTTCACTCCATTCTAAACCTGATTCTAGGAGGTTTACTTGTATCCAATCAGGCAACAGAAGCACACCATATGCACTGTGTGTTCAATCAAAACTCACCAGCTGAGCTTGGATTTTGAATACTTGCATCAAACTGCTTGTGACAGGGGTGACCAAACTTACTGGCCCTCCGAGCCGCATACGATAATCTTCATTAGTTCGAGAGTCGGGACCCGCCTGCCGGGGGCTGGGGCTTCAGCCCCACGGGAGGTGCCCAACAGGGCTCAGGGCTTTAGCCCCGCTTCTGCTGAAGCCCCAAGCCCTGGCAAGTGCGCCCCGCAGGGCTGAAGCCCAGAGACCGCCCCCTCCGCTGGGCAGAAGCCCCTACCCCACCACCCCGCTGCAAGGCAGAGGTCCTGAGCTTCCCCGCTCCGCCCCCAGTCTGGTAGGTGGAGAATGGGGGAGAGCGAGGGGAGCTCCATGAGTCTCACTTTAATGGTAAAAGATCTGCAGGTGGTTTGCAAGCCACAGTTTGATCATCCCTTAACATAGACCAAAATCAGTTTTAGAAACAGCCGAATTCAGAGGTGATGATGAGTGGTGAGTATCTAGGTTCCTTAGATTCAGTTAGATACCGTCAGACCTATTTCCAGCAATTACCAAAGTGGGATGGCTTTAAATCATACATTCTTAGTCTCTCCTGTTGGTTGCTTTCTGTGTTACACCCTTTTGCATGCCTTTGCATTTATTAGTTACACCAACCTGGACTCCTTTTGACTCAAATGAAAAAAAATTATGATTTTTTGTGGTTAGTGGGGTTATCTAAATCATTTTCTAAGGGAAGCTAGATCCTGCACTAGTTCTAACATTGAAGAATTAGGCCTATCTATTTTATAATTAAGTAAGAACTATCTACTTAGAAAACTGCATGTAAAACATAGAGACAATTATTTTTTTAAAATCACCACAAACCTGCATGTGAGAAAGTTCTCTGGATTATTTTCAGGCCTTTTTCCCTCTAGAAAATCTGAGACTTGGAACACAGATAGACTGTTGTTAATGTATCCAGACATGGGCGAATCTTCATTTGTAAAATAGGCATAGTAGTAAACTAAACGAGGGATCATATCAGATGTGAAGGCTACAATAAAGGCCTGAAAAAAGAAACAGAACTTGAGATGGTGCCGCATAAGCCGTGACTTAGTGTCTTGCTTAATATTTTCCTTTGAAATGAAATATCTGATTCTGTTTGACAGTCCAATGTGAAGTTGGAATGCTAGATGCAGCAGTTTATTGGTTTTCAGTTTATAAAAGTATCTTTAGTCACTGCTGCTATCTGGACATCCAGGAGCAGCTGCGGATCTAACTGAACCCATAGATTGTGAATCTTATTAACCATTCTCAACTGAAGGAATGAAATTACCTTGGCCAACTCCTATGGTTTCCCTTAGCCAACCAGCACTGCCAATACCATATCTGCACTGAGCTTCAGTAAACTAACTCCCATCCATGCCTCAATCTGGCCAGACACTGGGAAAGTCAAGTGAATGAACTACCCGGTCCCGGTTAAATAGCAATGGAGAGCTGCATGTCATCAAAAAGAAGAAAGGAGAGCAGCAGAATACGGACCCTGGACTTCAGAAAAGCAGACTTTGACTCCCTCAGGGAACTGATGGGCAGGATCCCCTGGGAGGCTAATATGTCGGGGAAAGGAGTCCAGGAGAGCTGGCTGTATTTTTAAGAAGCCTTATTGAGGGCACAGGAACAAACCATTCCGATGTGCAGAAAGAATAGCAAATATGGCAGGTGACCAGCTTGGCTTAACAGAGAAAGCTTTGGTCAGCTTAAACACAAAAAGGAAGCTTACAAGAAGTGGAAACTTGGACAGATGACTAGGGAGGAGTATAAGAATATTGCTCGAGCATGCAGCGGTGTAATCAGGAAGGCCAAAGCACAATTGGAGTTGCAGCTAGCAAGGGATGTGAAGGGTAACAAGAAGGGTTTTCTACAGGTATGTTAGCAACAAGAAGATCAGGGAAAGAGTGGGACCCTTACTGAATGGGGAAGGCAACCTAGTGACAGACGATGTGAAAAAAGCTGAAGCATTCAATGCTTTTTTTGCCTTGGTCTTCACAGACAAGGTGAGCTCCCAGACTGCTGCACTGGGCAGCACAGCATGGGGAGGAAGTGAGCAGCCCTCAAGTGGTGAAAGAACAGGTTAAGGACTATTTAGAAAAGCTGGACATACACAACTCCATGGGGACAGTTGCAACGCATCCGAGGGTGCTGACTGATATGATTGCAGAGCCATTGGCCATTATCTTTGAAAACTTGTGGCGAGCAGGGGAGGTCCTGGATGATTGGAAAAAGGCAAATATAGTGCCCATTTTTAAAAAAGGGAATAAGGAGAATCTGGGGAACTACAGACTGTCCCTCACCGCAGTCCCTGGAAAAATCATGGAGTAGGTCCTCAAAGAATCCATTTTGAAACACTTGGAGGAGAGGAAGGTGATCAGGAAGAGTCAACATGGATTCACCAAGGACAAGTCATGCCTGACCAACCTGATTGCCTTCTATGATGAGATAACTGGCTCTGTGGATATAGGGAAAGTGGTGGATGTGATATATCTTGACTTTAGCAAAGCTTTTGACACAGTCTCTCCCACAGTATTTTTGTCAGCAAGTTAAAGACGTATGGATTGGTTGAATGGACTATAAGGTGGATGGAAAGCTGGTTAGATCGTCGGGCTCAACGGATAGTGATCAATGGCTCGATGTCTAGTTGACAGCCGGTATCAAGTGGAGTGCCCCGGGGTCAGTCCTGAGGCCGGTTTTGTTCAACGTCTTCATTAATGATTTGGATGATGGGATGGACCGCACTCTCAGCATGTTTGCAGATGACACTAATCTGGGGGGAGAGGTAGATATGCTGGAGGGTAAGGATAGGGTTTAGAGTGACTTAGACAAATTGGAAGATTGGGCCAAAAGAAATCTGATGAGGTTCAACAAGGACAAGTGCAGAGTCCTGCACTGAGGATGGAAGAATCCTATGCACTGCTACAGGCTGGGGACCGACAGGCTAAGCAGCAGTTCTGCAGAAAAGGACCTGGGGTTTACAGTGGACGCAAAGCTGGATATGAGTCAACAGTGTGCCCTTGTTGCCAAGAAAGATAACGGCATATTGGGCTGCATTAGTGGGAGCGTTGCCAGCAGATCGAGGGAAGTGATTGGGGGCTGGGGCACATGACTTATGAGGAGAGGCTGAGGGAACTGGGCTTATTTAGTCTGCAGAAGAGAAGAGTGAGGAAGGATTTGATAGCAGCCTTCAACTACCTGAACGGGGGTGTAGCAGGGTGGTCACCCGCTCCTGCCTGGAAGGGCTTAAAGCAGTCCGGGAGAGGGCTGTGGCAGAGAAAAGCTGGGCTGATGGGGAAAGCAGCCACAGCTGTAGCCAGTGCAATCAGGGCCCAGCTGGCCCTTATAAGAGGGCAGTGGGCTAGAAGCACAGAGTCTCTCTCTCTCTCTCTCTCTGTCTCTAGAGGGAGAAGGGCCTGGCTGCTGGGAGCTGAGCGGAGTACCTGAGGTGGAGCAGGGCTGGGGGAAGGCCAGAGGAGCTGGGGAGCTCCAACCTGGAAAGCCCCCAGGCTGCAGGCCTAGTGTAAGGCCAAAGAGATACTGGGGTTGCAGAGGGGCAGCCCAAGGGCAGGTAGAGGCAGCAGAGCCAACCCTCCCCTTGCTAGTGATGAGTGGCCAGTGTGCGGGGGCTAGATGGTGACTGGCAGTAGCCAAAGACGGAGGCGAGGTGGGGATAGTGGGTGGGGTTCCCCTGCGTGGGGAGACCCAGAAACTGTGGGGATACTGCCAGGGGGTAGCCCCCATGAGAAAGGGGGGCACTAGGTCCAGGAGGGACAGAGGGCCAGCGGCAGCGAGGCACCGGCCTGCAGAGGGCGCTCCGGGTCAAAAGAGCTAATTCCCAGGACGACCGACAGGAGGTGCCGCACCGGTGAGTCGTCACCCCCGTCACAGGGGGGTTCCAAAGAGGATGGAGCTCGGCTGTTCTCAGTGGTACCAGATGACAGAACAAGGAGCAATGGTCTCAAGTTGCAGTGGGGGAGGTCTAGGTTGGATATTAGGAAAAACTATTTCATTAGAAGGGTGGTGAAACACTGGAATGGGTTACCTAGGGAGATGGTGGAATCTCCATCCTTAGAGGTTTTTAAGGCCTGGCTGGACAAAGCCCTGGCTTGGATGATTTAGTTGGGGATTGGTCCTGCTTTGAGCAGGGGGTTGTACTAGATGACCTCCTGAGGTCTCTTCCAGCCCTAATCTTCTATGATTCTATGATCAACACCCTGGTAGCACTGCAACTCAAATGGTGGTGTTATACACATAATGAATAGGTTCTATGCAGAATGAGAAACAGTAGAAGCTGATTATAAAACCTACAAATCCTGAAAATATGAAGAATCATAAGCAAATGGACTTAGTTTACTTACGTTAGTGACAACAGACAAGATGGCCATTCCATTTAGAATTTCTTGCCAAACTCCTATACTGTGGGCTTTGGCAGCAACAGGCCTCCTGAACTGAGTGGTAAGCTTCCAGGAATCTACTCGAATCTCCAAGATATTATTCATCAGTGCAAGAAGGGGAGCCAGTGGAAAAGAGGCCACAAACAGAGTAATAAATCCGAACTGAATGACTGCATGGGAGGAAGGGAAATGAACAACAATTGTTTTGAACTCTAGGGAAATTATCTTTAAGTTCACAATTCATGCTATTGTAATACCAGAGCATTCAAGATAACCCTACCAAGTGAAAAACAACTCTAGTGGAATGTATTCATATCACCAATTTTCTAAATTACAACAACGTGCTAATAAAAGTATAGTATCCAAGTACTTTCAAGAAAGAATAGCATGTGTGTGTTATAACTGAAAAACTCAGCAGTTTGGAGAAGAGATTGAATGTACAAAGCAGTAAAGTCTGACTGACCAGACTTGGACTGATGCAGGACTTTACATGCTGGCTCTCAAACCCTCCAATTATTTTATAGACCAACCTCTTTTAGCTTTTAATTAATTTTAATTCATTCCCGAACAAGAAATTGTTGAACATGTATTCTTCCCTTGTGACTCTATTGTTCATGTGTTTATTGACAGTTCATTATATATGTGATTAGTGCCACTGGTAAATCTTAATATGAATTAAAAAATTACAAACTATATACATAAATAATCACTTTAGCTACCACCAAAATGAAAGCACCTCTGGTGTGGTATGTGGCAGCCTTTTCAGTTGTGCCAACACTACCCCACAATAGTTTAGACACAGAAAGTGAAAAGGAATACTATATCTACTTAAAGTCCAAGGAGAATGTAAAACACCATAAAATTTGGCCAGGACATTGGCGTTAAATACGGTTCCAAAACTGTCATGAGATCTCTAATAACCACATGTGGTCAGGACTTCAATTTTCCATCACAGCCAAAAAACAGAATCTCCAACAACCAAGTGGTGGCTGAATTATGCTGGGGCAATCGTTTAATTATGATTCAGGAAAAGGAAAAACATGTACTGCATCTTCACTGCCACCAGCAGCTACTACAGCAGCTATTTTTTATCACAGCCCAAGGTGAAATGGCTACATGACACGAATGTGGCTAGGTAGTTCCAAACAAGATTTATAGATTTATATGCACAGCTTAGGAGTATCATTAAGAGGGATACCACCAGGCAACCCTTTCAACAAATTTTGTCCTTTCTATTTGACAGACACTGATTTTTTTCAGTGTTTTCTGGATTTTGCATGGGCTTAATTTCTGTTTTTTTTTAGTTAGCTGTTTGCAAACTGTTTCATCAGTCATGTCGGCATCATTTAAAAATAGTGCCAGTTGGTTAGCTCATGCGCCCTCTGCTGGTCAGCTGGGTAGTATCAGAGCACAAATCAGTGCAGACCCAAAACACAGTGGATTCTCTGATCCACATTGTGGATCTCATATCTGCAGTGCAGATTCTTACAGCATACTTGGCACTCATCCCATGGTCAGAGTTTCCACTATCAGTGGAAGTTATGCCTGGGAAGAATGGCAGAATATGCACTAGAGAGATGCAGTGTGGATAACAGATCCACCATCCAACTGAGAGAGAAACAGTTCCTGGATATATAAATACTATGAACAAGAACTTTGCTCAATGCATTATAACAATATAAAGGCAGCTTCAGTTATTGGGCTGACCTATTGAACTCCTATCAATGAATTCTATGCTGCTTACAATACTTATCAGAGAACAAGCCAACCCCCCAACTGGAAAGCTCTGTTCTTATAACCATAATAACAAAGTTTCTTATCCTCATTTCAAAGTTGTGTTTTCAGCTCACCCATTTCTAGATATTCATAGAATAGCCCCAAGGCTCCAAAGCTCTGCAGATCATGATCCTGCTCCCAGCGACTATATAAATTCTCTGGATTACATCTGGCTTTCCTGCGTCCCCACCAATTCCAAATCCAGCTGTGTGTGTGGGGAAATAGGAACAATAAGGGAGGGGGGAATATAGAGTCATGATTAGAGAATATATTGTGCGCTATAAATTGATTCATAAGCACCTCTTTCCCCCAAAGGAAACCAACTCCTCACTCCCATACTGAACAGTCTTTACAAACATCTCCTACAGAAAAGAAGCCAAAAGAACTCTAAAAATTTGATTTACTTTTCAGCACTTACGCGGTTAATTTACCTACAGCATTTCTCTCAGCATGGCCAGTGAAATGATGCTACTCATCACCCTTAATTTCAGCCATCTACAAACCGAGTGGCTCAATGTAAGGCATGACTTACGGTACAATGGCCTCTTGTATATTTCCCCAAATCTGTTTGCCGGCCATAACTATGGTGAGCTGTGTTGTCAATTCAATCAGGCAGCCTGCAGGATCACACTGACCAAAAAAAGAAGTTGGGGAGAAAACAATCATGAAAGTTACTAAGTTGGCCATCACCTGCATACAATACAATTTAATGTAAGAAAGAGTTCTTAAAGTGCTTAGGGAAAGAAATAATTTGCACTTCAGCTTCCAGCTAAAAATTCACCTTCAGGGAGACTGTTCCAAAAGGCTAAACCGTGTTGTATTTTTGTCCAAAAAGGAAATGTGCTAGGTAAAACATTTCAAAATTGAAATATTCAGACCATTTGAAAGACAAAGTGACTCAACAGGGCTTAGACTGGCCTCTCTGGGTCTATCTACACTGCAGTTGGGAATGTGTTTCCCAGCTCAGGGAGACGGACTCGTGCTAGCTCTGCTCAACCTAGCACACTAAAAATAGCCGTGTGAATGGAGAGGCATGGGCACTGGCTTGGGCTAGCCCCCTGAGATTGGATCCATGGGGTCAGGTTGGGGCTTGGACTTGGGTAGCTAGCCTGAGCCACTGCCCATACAGCAATGTCCACATTATTATTTTCAGTGTGCTAGCTTGAACAGACCTAGTCCATGCTCCCAGCTGAGTGCAGACATACCCCGTATGGGTGCATGTGGATGGGGCATAAGCAGTCTTCCAACTTCCTCCAGTAACAGTTCCTGCCTTTCCCATTAAATCCAGTGAGATGCCAACATGGCACCAACATTGGTACCTCGAAATACCAGAGGCCAAATCCCAAGTACTCAACTCCTGCATCTCCCATTAACTTCATAGAGAGCTGGATGTATTTAGCACTTCTCAGGATTTGGCCCTCGCTGTTTGCGGATTTTTAAAATTTCTGTTCCTTATCAGGGCCACCATGAGAATTTACTGGCCCTGAAAACATCTAGAAGACTTCAGTCCCTAACTTTGGTAATATAGCTGCCCTTTGTTTGCCTCAAGCTATTTTTCTCCCTCTTGCCCTCCAGGCAACATTCAACACCCAATTTTGCCTTCGGAGGTTTACACATGGCTTCACTGGGAGTCGTGCATCAATATCCAAAGCCAGAACTTTTAGAAGTGTTTTGCATGCAGCAGAAGGCCAGTCATCTTTGATGCTAACCTGTGTTCAAAATGCTGGTGGAGATACCTTAATGTCAGTGAGCACTTACATTTACCCTGGCTTTAATCTGCCCAGAGGAGCACTGTCTTCACCCGCGTACAGTACTCACAGAGCCAGAGGCCCCACTAAACAGAGCCAGTACATCACTGAGATAAGTAAGGTGCCCATCAATGATTTAGAAAAAATAATTCTCAAGGTCCTCATGCTGTTTAGGGACAGTAAATTCTCATGGTGGCCATCATAAAGAGCAGAAGTTTTAAAGACTAGTCTTCTTTGCAAACAGCAAGGGCCAAATCCTGAGAAGTGCTAAATACATCCAGAGCCAGAAAGGGATTTAGGTTCCTAACTGCTGCTTTAGGCACATAAATCCAAAATCTAGATCCTCCAAACCCTCACTCAGCAGCCACCTAATCCTGTAGATATCTAAACTCCCTACGTACCTAAATTTACACCTGTAAAGTCCCAGCAATGAACAAACCTCTTCCAGTGGGCATGAGCAATACTGTTCAAATCATGACTTTGCCAAACTGTTCAGAGCCAAGCTTACGTCTAAACTTTTGCAGAATCCTCAAACTACATATCTGCAGGGCCTGATCTGGTAGGCAGGCTTAGAGGTCGCCTTAGGCCATACCTACCAGATCCGGCCCTGCACAAAATACAGCGGTGACAGATATGATGATATCCTGCCATATCTTGGGCAAACCTTATGGAATTACATTTTAATACCTTTTGGGTCCCTTATATTGAAAATGCAAACTGTGTATTATTGTACAGAACTTCTTTAGGAGGAAGGCAGTATTAATTAAATCTCTGGAAGATATTAGGAACTTCAAAGGTCTTTTGGGGACGGTAAGTGTGAAGTGGATTTCCTAGGAAATACTTAGGGGTGAGGGGAATGCAAATGACCCCCTCAAATCCATCCTTTGAAAGCTGCACTTTGAGCAGAGACCCATTGGCTAATTACCTAGTCATGATCTCTTCAAAGAGCCATGCTGGATAAATGAGAAACTATCTTACTCTTGAGGGTTCTTGTTCAGAGCAAAGGGTATGGTGAACTTGAAACCCCAGGAAAACCCCAGGTTGAAGGACTGCTCCTGCCAGAGCCCAGGTTGTAGTTGGGGTGATCCCTGGTAAGCTATTAGCATGTGTGTAGGTTTTATTGTCTTTAATATGTTTTCTCTATAGTGCTTTTACCTTAAGAATATGTGCTTGCTTAGAAAGAACTGTGTGGTAACTTACAACTGTGGCAATTACACTGTGTACCGTCTCTGAGAAGAGAATGAAGAAGGCAGCCTGACTTTTGCTGGGAATAACAGTGAAAGCAGGGACCTGGAAATACCCTGGTCAGGAGGCAGAGGGACACACATCTCTCTGCCAGAAAGGCAACGGCTGGGAAGCTCGAAGACCAAGAATGGGTGCCCTGCTGGACCACTGAGGTGAAGTACAGGTGCAGTTGCCCCAAACTGTGACAATAGCCTTGGAGGTGGTCATGGTGCCAGAGTCACCATTATACTAACAGTCCAGTGACTGGAGAACTCACCCTGGTTATGAGAGATCTGGGTTCAAATCCCCACTCTGCCTGATTCACAGCAGGGACTTGAACCCAGGTCTCCCATCTCCCAGGTGAGTGACTTGCTCAATGAGCTATGGAGTATTCTGGGCCAGGGCTCTCTCAATCTCTCCTGCTGAAACTATTCCATACTGTGTAAAACACTTAAATAGTTGTTGGGGTAGGGATTGGAGCCCAGGTCTTCCAGCAGAATGCGCTAATTGCTAAGCTATAGAGTTATTCTCTCTGGTTCAGTGGGTCAGATGCTCTAACCGCTGGGCATAAGGGAGCTGCCACCATCACCATAATTTTTTGGCAAGAAAGAGCTGAGCTGGCTTAGGCACCTAACTCCAGGAGAGGGTTCACAGCTGTGAATCCCAAGTGGCAATAAGCATCTCCCTCCAGCACCTAACTCCCTTTGAGGAGCACAGCTTAGGCCACAACCTTCTCCTCTGCATTTCTTATAGTGTTGTTAGGCATCTCCCCTCTCAGCTTGCTGCCTTCTGAATCCCATTCTTAACTACCTAACTCGCCCCTTCCACTGCATAGGGAGCCTCGGCAGCTAATGTAGGGCTGTGGATTCTACTGGGTGGCAGGGTGCCTAAATGTTAGGTGTTGCAATGCTGACCCTAAGTCCCCTTTAAGGATCTAGCTCTAGATCCTTAGATATACCTGGACTCCACTTGGTGTCCCCAAGGAGGAGGGGTAGGGGCCCTAGGTAGCTTTCTATTATCTTTTCATCTTTCTGATCCTGTGAACATTCAAGGGCTAGTTCGGTCCCTAGTGCCAGTTTAGAGCAGCAACAGGGCATTCATTCCAAGCACCTTCCCACATCTAGAAAACTTCTGTTATCAAGGGGATGGAGGCGTTAGTGAGGATCTGGCCAACTGTATTTATTATATATCCTCCTCCTAAGTCCAGAGGAATGCATACCTCTTCATTTCTCCAGCGACTAAACATGTATGTATATGTGCCAGGGTATCCCACAAATTTCCCTTTGAAGAAAGCCACATAGAAGCAGGATGAGTAGTAGTTGACAAACTGGAACAGGAACATCTTCATAGTGAGTCTGTTCTCATACTCCAGGTGAGTTCTTGGGATCTCTGGGAAACCAAAATAAAAATTTTAAAATTGCCTTTATCCCATTTCAAACATGCAGATTCATAAATGTTTGTCACCTTCAGCAGTCTAACATCTCAAGAAAACACATTACGGTCAGCAGCTGGCATTCCTGTTGTCAGACAGTACATCCTCTATGCACAGCACAGCTCTTTGAGCAGGGAGGGGCATGGGACTCATTCTAGAAATGCTAATCGGATCAGATTTCCCCCTTTTCACATATCGGCTAGTGTCACCAGCTCCACCTTGGAATCTTTCATCACTTAATTCCTCAGAGTAGCATTTCCCAAACTGTTGGTTGTGCCCTCGCAGGGTGAGAAAGTTTCCGTTTTGGCAGTAAAATAGAAACCTAGCATAGCTGGAGAAGATCTCCTGTGTTCTGAAAGAGAATCACTTGCTGCAGTTTTATAGGGCTGGATCTTCAAAAGTACTGTGCTCTCATAACTGTAAGTGAAGCCAGTGGGAGCTGTAGGTACTCAGCACCTCACAAAGAAAGGCCAAAGGTGGGTGAGAGAGCAAGGAGGCTTCCTACTTGTCAGGAAGATAGTTGAAGCAAAGAAGTAACATGCTGGTGTGATCACCACAAGGGTGCTACTGAGGACTCTGCTCCATCTTTTCCATCATGTTTGCTTTTCTCAGTAGCAGAAAGCACTAATCCCACCACTGGTAAAATAAACTGTAAAATATCATTAGCTAAATAGCCATTCTGAGCAGGAGGGGAGAGAAAAATAAACCACAAGAACTCAGGCTGGCCAGCAGTGGGCCGAATCTCCCTGCAGACACACTGGACTAAGCTGGCTTCGGGAAAGGGCTACTTTACTCTTCCCTGCATGAATGTTGGTGAGTTTGGCCTGACAAATAATTTCTGGCGCCCATAAAGGGCTTACAAGTAATTGGACAGTCCAAAACAGGGGAGTCATAATAGGGAAATATTTGGGAACTCTGGTCTTAGAACTACTGAAGTGACACATTTTGCATCTGGGTTCAAATTTTGCCCTCAAATGTTGACGCCACTGGTAATTAAATCTGTGCATCTCAGAGCAAAATTTGGCCTAATTGTTACATATAATTCAGGAATGAAGGTGGTAAATCACATTCTTGACAGATATAGTCAATGTTTCATACTCCTTTCTTCCGCTAAAGCTTCAAGTCCCAGCAAAGTGCAGATTCTCTTCTCAACATTAGAGGGCAGTAGTCACACAAAAGTGAAGAAGTCGATGATCTTTTCTGATTTTAGCTGATCATCACAAAACAGTGTGAGCTAATTTACAGAGGTCAATGGTATTTCACAGACAAGGAATTAGTCCTTCGCATTAATGTGCAGACATAAAAAAAAAGATTGTTTGAGCTTTCATGCACATATTAGTGGGATTTAGCAGGATTCAATTTGAAGATGAAAAAACAAATTAAATAGGAATCAATTTCTCTTCTATGCAAATGATTATCTTAGTAGTTTATTTGCGCCTATTATTCCATTATTGGACAGAGAGGGGAATAAAAGTTAAGAGCCAGATAATCAAATTTAGCCCAGAGAAGTAAGCAATACAGAACTACAGTTCTAGATGTGGTTTTCTTGTCCCAGTTCTGCTCACACTGAAGCCCATGGCAGAACTCCCACTGTAATTTCATTACAAATAGGGAGTAGGTAAGCTCCGAGTATACAAAGACAAGCAGCTGCAAAGTGAGCTGAACTCTCATAGTGCACAGTCCAGTCCACAGAGTGTTACTGACATGCTCCAAGACAGACCCCTTCCTATCCTTAAATCTAGAAGTACGATGCCAGGATTAAGACCATCTGAATACTTGAGTATTAGGGCACGTCTTCGCTACCCGCCGATCGATCTATCGGGGATCGATTTATCGTGTCTAGTGTAGACGCGATAAAATCGATCCCCGATCGCTCTGCCGTCGACTCCGGAACTCCACCGCAGCGAGAGGCGGAAGCGGAGTCGATGGGGGAGCGGCAGCAGTCGACTCGCCACCATCCTCACAGCCAGGTAAGTCGACCTAAAATACGCAACTTGAAGTTGCGTATCTTAGGTCGACCCCCTCCCAGTAGTGTAGACGTAGCCTTAGTTTCAGAAACTAACATGTTAGTGGACAGTACTTTTTTAGTTAGTTTGTTTGTTAAAACTGAACATTTGGCAACATACTCATTCTCTGTGTAATGCAAAGCAACTTCGAGGGGCTGAAAAATAAGAAGAAGCCGGATCGCTCCCTCCCAGGAAAAACACACACAAAGGGTCCTGGCGGAGGAAATTTCTACAAGGACCTCATTATGTAAATAACCATACACACTCCCATGTCAGTAATGGGCCTCCAGCAACATCCTCCAGTTCCTGGGCAGCTTGGCTCTATTGGAGATGCACTATCAGGGACCCCCACCTGGTCACAGACATGAGGAAAAAGATGAGACAGTCCTAAATCCACCTGCTCCTGCCCTCAGTCTCCACTCCCTTCCCGGTATGAATGCTGGATCTGCAGGCTCCAGTACTGTGGAAGCTTTCCCCACCCTGCTCCTTTTCCATAAGGGAGATCCAGGTGTACAAATCTGGGTGAGACAATTGTACACAATAAAATTAAGTTAAGGAGCATGCTTATTTAACTGGTCCTACTTGATGTAGAAAAGAGTGCTCCATTTTTAGAATCACAGTTAATTCATATTCAGGACTTCTAAAGGAAATTCTGCTAAACCAAGATGGCTTGATCTTGCTTTGAAGAGTTTAATATTACACACAATTATAATTTTATTTAGATTTCAGAACACGTTGCCTTGGTGTCAGGATAATTCCAGCATGTGCAGACATTATACAAAAAGATACACACATAACAAGACAAAGCCACTTATGACAATCGCTATTCAGATACAGTAACTCCTCACTTAACATTGTAGTTATGTTCCTGAAAAATGCAACTTTAAGTGAAACAATGTTAAACAAATCCAATTGTCCATAAGATTTAATGTAAATGCGGGGGGTTAGATTCCAAGGAAATTTGTTTGGGGCAGACAAGAGGCATTATACTGTATACTGTACAGTACTGTACTGTGGTTGGGAAGTGCCCCTGGCTTACCCCACACAGGCACAGACCGCTGCAGGCAAGGACGCTAGGAAGCACCTTTGCAGCAGCAGCGGCAGCTTCCCTGGAGAACAGGCTCGGATTTTGCCAGGAATGCTCCAGGCCCGCCTCTTCCCACCCCCACTCCACCTCCTCTCCAGAGCATGCCACAGCCCTCCCCCGCCCCCCCCAAAGTTTAGGACTTTCTGGGAGGGAGGGGGAGGTGCGGAGACGCAGCGCTTCCCTGTTCCTGCCCCTCCCTCCCAGAAAGTCCTAAGCGCGAAGTGCTGGGAGGGAGGAGGAGGAGCAGGGAAGCCCTGCGTCTCCACTCCTCCCCCTCCCTCCCAGAAAATCCTAAGTGCCGGTAAACAGCTGTTTGGTGGTGCTTAGAGAGACACGGCACTTCCTCGCTCCTGCCCCTCCCTCCCAGAAAGTCCTATGTGCCGCCAAACAGCTGTTTAGCGGTGCTTAGGATTTTCTGGGAGGGAGGGGGAGGAGTGGAGACGCAGCACTTCCCTGCTCCTCCCCCTCCCTCCCAGAAAGTCCTAAGCGCCGGGGTGGGGGAAGCGCTGGGAGGGAGGGGGAGGAGGCGGAGAAGCAGAACTTGTGCAATGCTCCCTTATAAAGTCGCTGCTCTTCCACAGAATCTTACAAGCAGGCAGCCAAATGACATTATAAGGGAGCACTGCACAACTTTAAATGAGCATATTCCCTAATTGAGCAGGGATGTAACATTGAAACAATGTTAAGTGGGACAACGTTAAATGAGGAGTTACTGTACAAGGAGACTAAGTGAAATTGTTAAACTTTGTCCAGCATAGCCATAGTAACAAGACAAAGACTCACCACAAACCTATAGGGCTTGGGCACAATGGGAATTGTGCATGAGCAAGGAAAGCAGTATCAGGCCCCTCTAGATAGATTCTACTTTTAGTGACTCCATTATAGAGCAGAATGTCTCCCTGGCAATTCTGTCCTCTTGCAAGTTGCTTACCCATATCAGTGATCCAGACAGCTATTTTCTCATATAAGAAATTCAGTATCATGATGATGACAAAGTTCAAGCACGATGCAGTGACTGAAGTTGCCAGCTGTGGGGTCAGTAATCCACTGATGGGTTGCAGAGTTTGTGTATTCTCCATGATGCTGGCAAAGGCAGCATAGACTGCAAGACGGTACACTATCACAGCTATCATACTAGCTATGATCAGAGAGATCTAAGGAAAGGACAGAGATGTAGAGTAAATTTACATTACAACACAGTTGTACGCATGCACTTTAAGAATGGAAATTCATAGGGTCATGCTTTAACTTTTTTATTTTTCTTTTCTTTCGTTCTTTTGGCTATGAGTTCAGGAGCACTGAAATGCAAAGTACACAGATGAAATACCCTGTTATATTAGTTACATAATCCACCGAAAGTATTTTATCAGCATAGAAGTTTGACAGTATAATAATTCTATTCAAAATACATGTGTGGGAAGACATTGGACTATAGACTTAGAGATGGAAAACACCTGTTAAATTATTTGTTCTGTGTCTGTACAGCATCTAGCACAATAAGGTTCTGCTCCATGACTAGGGCTCCAATGTGTACGGTAGTACAAATAATTTATAATAATTATAATAGTACTGGGTAGTTCATCTCCCTGCAAACTCACTATCTGTTTATATATCTATCAAACTGACACTACATTTGATCTTAGCAAAAAAAATTTCCCTTTTTATTTTTAAACATGATAATCCATGCAGTTTTCTGTATTAGATTTTTTCAACGATAATTGGGTTACACTAAGGTGTGAGCCCAGGTGAAATTTGGCCCTAACCTAGCAAAACTCACCAAATCTTTAGTTACTGATAGATCTTCACGATCTTTATCTTCTCCATATAAATTAAAGTGTACTTTGCATGACAGCAAGAAACATGCAGGATAGTATTAATTGGGAGATCTAACACAAACACTGTAATACAAGTTAACGTGATAGTGAAGATCAGCGATTGTAATACATGTTAAAGTGATGATTCAAAAAGATGCTCACCCAGAACAACACTGTAGTTCCTGAGATGCAGAACCGTACAGCCTGGCTAGTTAGAGGCAAATAAGGCTCCATCTCCTGCAACAGTCAAGCAAGCACAGCACAGTTCACAATCCACATACATATTTGGACCCCAAGCAGCACACAATGCCTGGAACAGCTGTGTGAAAGCAAACATCCTATGAAAATCATTTTAACCCCTTTCATTCTGAAGAATGTATGTTGCATGGTTTGCATGTGGTAGCAAAGAAATCAGAAGTGAAGAGGCCAATAAACAGTATCAATAATAAAGCCAATAACCAGGAAGAATAGGTTAAACAAAATCAGTCACAGTGCCTGAAGGACGATTGTGTTTACTTTCTCCAATTAACAGTGTTTGATATTGAGAACAAAAGAGAATTACTACTATAGTTCCAGGTCAGTTGTAATACAGCTCTGGCTTCAAAATTTCATTACTGTTTTCAGTGTTTTTCACATCAAGGTTTCTTACAATAAATGTTTACTTAGATGTACTAAGTTGTTCCACACAGCCACAAAGCATTTTACTCCACTTCTTCAAATCCTTTTTTTCAGTTGAAGAAATGGTTAAGTTTATTAGTTGCCAGTCTAACTGCACTATCATGCAGCTATATCTTACCCAAAAGATTATTCCCATATAGCACAAGAACAGTTTCCCATCTTCATGTAAAGTCCTCTTTTTAGAAACCATTTCTAACTCCTAAAATATCAGATCAGATGGATTAACAAGGGCTAATACCAAGGGCAGAGAAATTAGTACAGCACATATAATCTGATAATTATGTTACTTAGGCCTCGTCTACACTGAAAAAGTTATACAGGTCAAGGGTGTGAAAAAAACACAGCTACATTGATCAAGGGTGTGAAAAAACCATAGCCCTGACTGACATCACTATGCCAACAAAATCCCCAGTGTAGACACAGGTCTGTCGATGGAAGACAGCTTCCGCAGACATAAATAATTTCATTCAGGGAGGTGGTGTTCCTACACTTACAGAAAGAAACATTCTGTGGTATAGGCTGCATCTACACTACAAAGCTATCCCGCTGGTATAGAAATCATAGGGTTAGAAGAAGGGTCATCTAGTCATATAGTCTCCATAGCGTGGAACTCTCTAGGACAGGGGTGGGTGGGCAAACTTTTTGGCCCAAGGGCCACATCTGGATACGGAAATTGTATGGTGGGCCATGAATGCTCACAAATTTGGGGGTTGGGGTGTGGGGGCTCCAGCTGGAGGTGCAGGCTCTGGGGTGGGGCTGGAGGGTTGGGGGTGCAGGAGGGTGCTCCGGGCTGGGACCAAGGGGTTCGGAGGGTGGGAGGGAGATCAGGGCTGGGGGTTGGAGTATGGGAGGGGGTCAGGTGTGCAGGCTCTGGAGGGCTCTTATCTCAAGCAGCTCCCAGAAGCAGCGACATGTCCCCCCTCCGGCACCTACCCAGAGCGTGGCCAGGTGGCTCTGCGTGCTGCCTGGGCCAATGGGAGCTGCGGGGGCAGCGCTTGGGGTGGAGGCAACGTGCGGAGGCCCCTGACTTCCTCTATGCGTAGGAGCCGGAGGGGGGACATGCCACTGCTTCCAGAGCCATGTGGAGCCACGGCACACATGGAGCAGGGCAAGCCCTGGACCCCGCTCCCCGGTGGGAGCTCGAGGGCAGGATTAAAATGTCTGAAGGGCCGGATGTGGCCCCCGGGCCATAGTCTGCCCACCCCTGCTCTAGGACAAGTGTTGTTTTCTCATTATGTCTGTGTACAATGCCTTCCACAATGGGGCTCTGATCCCTGAGTGGGGTCTCTAGGCACTACCACAATACAAATATTAGTACTGCTACTACTAATAATAATACCATATAACTACTGAGACAAAGTAGATGCTTGTTTTGAAATAAGGTGATATTGGACCTCAGGCATTTTCTTCACACTACTTTATTTCTGTTACACAAAACCACCAATACTGGACAGAATACTGCTCTCAGTTACCCTGGTGTAATGCAGAGTAATTTTACTGGATTCAGTGAACGTATCTCAGTGTAACTGGGAAAAGCATTTTCTTTTGCGTCAATCACATAGTATCAATCATTTTATGTGAGCGCTGTTCATAACCGAGACAAATGACAACATTCTTTAGCCAGCAGAAGACCAATTTGTCCACAAGACACAATTTGAATTTGAAGTGTATAGTGCTGTACTTTTATGGGTGAGAGATATTACTGTCTAAAATGTACTTAACACACTTTTATCAATGAATAATTCTGGGCACTCTTGCAGCTTGATTGGCATAAGTTATATTCAGTGACAGTATACAATAAAAGTCTTCCTCCTTAACGGAATTATAAAAACAACTGAAGTTAATGTGATATGTATACAAATATTCAAGGATTTATTTAGGCCCATAATATGCAGTTCAAGCAAGTATTTCTGATAAGAGATACACAATTTCCTTTTAGGAATCACTGTCTCAGAACTATTTTAGGCTATCTGACACACAGTTAGTTTACTACTTAAGAACTGATGCTGTACAGTGACCAAGTCTTAAAATTTCTGGGCCAAATTCTCCTTCATTTGCACATATACTGAAGCCAGTGAAAGAAGAATTTGACCTGTTATGAACTAGTTCAGTATTTTCACCATTGACTATTGTGATGCTAAGTCAACAGAAATAGCAAACAAGGTGAAGATTACTTTCTCGCGATGGGTAATTTCTGTATCAGTGTATCCAGTGAGGGGCAAAGACCTTGAATCTTTGCTAGTGATGAGAAATTGGTTTTACAATTGAAGCAAAGCTAGCCTCAGTGCTCTCTAAATTCAGTGAACTTTATCTATATTACTTTTTCAGTTTACAAAATTAATCTGTTTGAAACCAATGTCCCTTCACACTTTCAGTATCACACATTAGATAATGAAAGGAAATGAAGCTACAGTGTGGCTAACCTGTATAATTTTCTATGGCTGAGTACTGACAGGGATTGCTACAAAAGCCTCTGAAAATCTGCAAAGATAACAAATGTTCTTTGTCATAAAGAAAAGGATCAGAAGGTAATTAAGGTTTTAAAGGCAAATGTCAATACATGCTCAAAGAAAAAAAAAAAACAGCTATGCATTGATTTCTTATTCTGTCTTATAACTCCATGCTCGATTTTCATGTTTGAGACAAGAAAATACACTGATAGCCAACTCCTGATTTCCTGTACAAAGACAAAATAAACAATTTTGCACAGGGGTCCACCATGTTTTTGGGGGTGATGGAATCCTTTCTGAGTCTAGCGGCACCAGCAAATCTGCTCCAGATAAGCTGCAACTATAGCTTATATGTAACTGTATAAGCATCTATGTTTGCTTCACCCTCCATAACCCAACACTGGGATTTTAGGCCAGTAGATGTACACAATCACTGTCCACTAGTCATGCCCTTACTTCCTGGTCCAAAACCCACTATGCTTTGTCATGGACAGTGAGGCTGCAGCACACTGCTCTGCAAGACACAAGAGTTGTGTGACTTTCCCATAGCCTTTCCTCCCTACATAGTAGAATCACAGTGGTTCTGCTGCTTTGTGGGTACTGTGGAGCTATACAAAAAGGGAAAGTATTTAGCCCTAAGCATAGACAGGGACACAGGTCAACATATATTATTAAACAGGCAGATGTTCCTTTCCAATTAGTTTGATCCAGTAGTCAAAAACAGTTACTTGCCTGAAATGTTCTTTTGATCAATCTAAAAACAAAACCTCCACAGAGCTACACCCATGGCCTCGTGCTCAAGCAGTCATGCTGTGTGATCTTCAGAGATATTTATTTCACTGTTGGAGTGCATATCACACTGAGGCATAAAAATGACAATGGTGCCCTAGCATAAGTAGAAAAACTCTCAGTGAGAAAAAAAGATCAATGTATATTTCTCCTAAAAAGTAAGGAGGCTTGAAGGGAAGGGCCATGTTGTTCATATAACAGTATGTTGTTTTAACAGCCATGGCTAAATTGAAATGTTTCCTCTGAAAAATGTGTTACTTTCATGTATCTATTTGCATGACTGGTGAAAAGGAACTACTTAAAACATAGTTCCAGGGACAAAGAGTGTGACTGAAACAGTCCATTTTAAGATGACGGGGGCTATTCCAGAATACAAGAAATCTCAATCATATATTCTAGAAACCTGCAAATTAACACCTGCTTAAAAATTTGATAATGGAAAAACTAACAAGCACATAACATCTAACTGCATCCCAAATTAAACTTCAGACTCATATCATGGGCCTCCACAAGGTTTACTTCCCCAGCACTTAACACAAGCAAGTTTAGCCATCAGAGGACAAACACAACACCTAGCCACCTTTTCTGCATCTTTTTTGTGTGAGGAGTTATTTGTCTTCCATTCCGTTCTGCAATGAAGACAACAAATGTGTTTTCTTTCATTAGGAAAAATTATAGGTTTGTTTCAACTGGAAACAGAGAGGAGGGATACTTCAGTTTGTGCTATATCATTTCTGTATTCAGCATTCCTTTAAGTAAACAAAAATGTCTACTGCACGGAAACCTAAAAGCCAGTATGACTTTTGCTATCTCTGTGCAGCAGACTTTTCCTCTTCTATACCTAGTACCAGGGCCGGCTCCAGGCACCAGGCAACCAAGCTGGTGCTTGGGGCGGCACCTGGAGGGGGGCGGCGCGGCGCTCCGGCTGCCGGGGAGAGCGGGGCCACAGCCGGGCTCGCCGCCCTCCCCCCGGCGCTCTGGTCGCCCTCTCCCCCGCGCCCTCCCCCCGGCCGCCGGGGGGAGAGCAGTGAGCCCCTGCTGGGGCTCGCCGCCCTGCGCTCTGGCCGCCGGGGGGAGAGCCGAGCCCCAGCTGGGGCTCGCCGCCCTGCCCCCGGCGCTCTGGCCGCCCTCCCCCCCGGCGCCCTCCCCCCGGCCGCCGGGGGGAGAGCGGAGCCCCCACTGGGGCTCGCCGCCCTCCGCCCGGAGGCTTTTTTGCCTGGGGCAGCAAAAAAGCTAGAGCCGGCCCTGCCTAGTACTTTCCATTGCTTTGCCGCATTCCTTATCATGCAGACAGCAAACATCTGTTGATTGGTCATTTCTCCTTAGCTACATTGTGTGTGCATGTCTATCTATCTATTTGTCATATTACATTCACGTAAAGAGTGAAAACTTGACTACTTACCATGCAGCTACCTGCTGCAGGAAAATAATAAGTGACAAGTTATGGGGCCAGATTCTGCCCTAGTTTAAACCTGATGTGTTTCTATTGTGTTCACTGAGGTTGCACGGGGTCTGGGCTGACTGAATTTAGTCCTATAAAGTTCTATATGCCAAACTTTCTACTCCCAGATATAGGGCTTGTTGAAAAAATTTCATGTACAATCATTCTGATGAAAAACAAGGAAAATAATTTCACCAAGTGTTTGCAACATCTTTTTGACGCTCTCTATATATCTTGGTTCTTCTATAACCATCATCACCATAATGTCCGAGTGCTTATCCATTTTTCAACCAGCTGTCAGACACCACAGTAAATGAGAGAAAATTTCACTGACTTGAGTGGATTTACTCCAGATTGCTCCTGGTATAACAGACAGCAGAATGTGCCTCATTGCTTCGTGTAGCACAGTACCTGAAAGTCTGATTTGTCCTCATTCAAGTGGTTCACTGCCACCATAGTGTCACAGATCTTTACTCAGCAATTAGATGCTAACTAGTTCCTAAGATAGAACCATCACATTACAAAAAAGTTAGTATGGAATTTTAGCATAAAGTTTTGTTCATTTTGGTGTCCACTCAACAGACATCTTCTCACGCTGAGCATTTTTTAAAAAAAATTACCTGAGTCACTGGATTCTTTTTCTTGCGGGTACATTTGGCTTCATATTCTGGCCTCAGCTGGAGCTGTTGCTGTTCCTCTTCAAAATCAACCAAATCCCATTCGTATTTGAGTCTAGCTTGTCGCCGCTTCCAAAACTCCAAGAAAAGTGTTACTGTAAGTGAAAAGTGTCAAATAAACCATGTTATGAAAAGTGAACTGACTGGTAGGTTCTAGATACCACCCAAATTAAACAACCCTTCTCTCCCGTGTCTCACGATTGCTATTCTATTACTTCTTCTCTCAATGTGATTTGCCTGATGTTCATTCAGTATATCAGCCACAAAAGAAAACTCACTGCTAAGAGCTATAATATGAATTAGATATATTTACTGGTAAATTGAAGTGTAAATGTGAGTAGAGAGTAGATGACAAAGTAGCAAGCCCTCATGACCGCACTAGATAAGACACACACATTTTATTACAGTGATTAGTTAAAACACAAGCTGCCACACAGTACTAACAAATAAGCTGGGATATTTCAACCTAGGCCGTTGGGTACAAGAATCCATTATGGAAACATCTTTATTATAGATAAGCTGAACTGTTTTTCAGTAGAATGCTTTCCAAAGTTTTTCATGAAGCGCGATGCTCTTTTGAGGGTTATTTTGATAAGATGGAATTTTGAAGATACTGAGCTTTTGATGTTTCTCAGAAAGTCAAGGGAGACCTTGGCTTAAGAACTTTCTTTTTTGAAATAGCAGGGTGTAGAGGCGTGTGTGTATATTTATATAAAAATGACGAGGCATCTAAAAAGCTTCAAAAAGCCCTCTATAAACTGATCTAAAATACTGCAAACCTCTGGTAACCTGAAATGTCTGTATCTGAGTTGGTAAGAGTTTGTGGGTTGAACATACACAAGAAAGAGTTTATGTTGTGGTGCTCTATAAGCCTTGGTAGAGCATTCTGGAAATATAAACTTATTTATGCCATTCAAGGGACAGTGTTTAAAAGTAAGAAAGATCTTGAAGACCCCAGGCTTACAAAATCTATTCATTCTGAAATTTCCTGAAAGATCCCAGTGCAAAAGATGGTGCCTAGATGCTAAGATGGTAAATAGACATATGATAGACAGACCTTTGTGGGATAATGGAAACTCTGTAATATGGTTATTTCTGGTGGGCTAAGACATTTGATACATTCTTTCATGCTTTAGTCACCCAAACGGGAAAGAAGGTTCTTCATTAATTAAGGTAAAGAATAGGAAATAATAAGAAGCATGCTCTCACAGACATTTACAAAGATGCATATGAAATTTAACAAAAGAACAAGCATTAAAGTCAATAGAATTTTGTATCTAAAATGGATATGTTAAATGGTATGAATAAAACAATGACAAATACATGCTTACAGGAAGTCTCATCACAGAGAAGACAACTCAGTTAAATACATCTGCCTTCTGCATCTTCAAAATACACTCGTTGTCTGATTTCCCTGGTGCAAAAGAGGGACAATGTACGGGTCCTGGTCCTAAGGCTACCTATAATAATGCATTATTTGAGCCTATGTATTACTTTCTGCTTGTGGCAGCCATCAATCAGAAGTAGAAGAAATTTGCTTCATAGGGTCAGAAAGAGAAACTTTATTGCAAGGATCAGGAGAAAAGAGAGAACACAGTCTGAATTGCTTACAACTGTATAAAACCTGTTGTCATGTAGGGAAGAAACTAGCAATGTGTTCACTACAAATTAGGTTGTTAAAAGAAAATAATAATTGTAACATTAGGAGTGACCTGCAGATAAACAATTCTGCAAAAACACAGTCTTTTAATTGCATTGCACCAGGTGTGTAGGTTGTTTAAGGTACTAGGTTATGTTTTCTGTAAAGAGCAATTCCTCCACAACTTTAAATTATTTTTATTCTTTGATGGGGTAAATATTTCTAGATTTAAGGCAAAACAAAATGGCTTTCCCAATGTCCCTGAAAGGTTTAGTCAAGATCTCCCCATTGCTTTATTTAAAAACTTTGTTATCAAATGTACTCACCCCATATGCCCATGAAAATTGCAAAAAAAAGTGTTGCCACGTTATCAAACAAATGGGAGTACTGTAACAGAAACACACAGGGACAGGACAATTCAGTGACAGAACAGTTTTAAATAAAGCAGAACATGACAAATAATTGCAGAGTTGGATACAGACCTTTGAGGATTCACATGTGGTGTTTAGCTTCCAGTACTCACACTTCTCATCACAAAGAGGACACATGATGATCTCTCCTCCAATCGCAGGGGCACAGATTTCTGTGCTGAGGAGAAGAAGATGGTTTTACATTTTCTTCAGAAGCTCAATATGACATTTCTTTTGGAAAAAGATCAAAGCTTCACTCATTCAAACTTATGGGTTTTTAGCTTTGCTGATGATGTGTCAAGATTACATACACTGATACAACTGTAGCAGGGTCAGAGAAACCTTGAGGAAAAACCCAGTTGCTCCTGGAGATGGAGTTGGTGATTCACTTGGTGCCATGCTTCTCTCTGTGTCAGTACTGAATCAGTATTTCAGCATTCTGTTTGGGAGGCACTGTGCTGGATGTACAGTCTTTCAGATGAGATATAAACAAAGGTTCTTTCTAATCTGGTCACTAAAGATCTCATAGCACTTTTTTGTAATTTCAACTTGCTTCTTCTTTTTACTTCCTGTTCTATATTGTTGTGTAGTGTTGCTGTATGATGTTAAGCAGCTTCCATTTTTTAATCATAAGCAGCTGTATTGCAGGACTAGGTGAAGTGACCTGTGTGTATACTTTTTAATGACCATTTAAGTCTGAATGTGCATAGGGATCTTTCAGGAAGAATATAGGATATTATGAATATAACACAAGTTTCATACTGGCATAATTCAGCAGAACAGGGCACAGAGGTACGCATTCCTGAATGTACTTTTTAGCTACACACGTCAGAGACCAAAACAAACTTCGAATGTCCACTACACGTGAAGCCTGGCTCATCTCTGATGCGGGATGTTCTCTGTATTGCTCCTGGACATTTTTGGTAATTATTCACCATTGTTGGCCCTCTGAAGGAGGCAAATAGCTTTCTCTACAAGATGGATCAAAACTGGAGGGTCTAAGGCAACAATGAACAGTGATACATAAACAATCTTAATGGGAGAGAAGCTTAAACGGGCAGAAACGGCAGTATCCTGAGGACCCTACCGGCCACAGCGTTGCCCGGATACGAGCAGAGAGAAAACCCTTTGCCAAATTAAAACAAAAATTTCAACTTCCAACTATATGTTAGATTTTACTGTATAGTGGACAGTTGTGCTCTATTTGTGCAACCCCATTTAAGCGACTGGTGGTTGTCTGGGTGTAACAGAGCAGAATTTCCCCCTCTGCTTAAAAACATTTTATGTTTGCTGCTTTTCTATAATGAGCAAAACTACATTCTTTAGTTGGCTTTGTATTTTCAGAATAATTCCTACTTGTAATTTTTTTTTTTGGTAAATGTTAGTACAAATTAGGACTTCTACATATACAAAAAATACTGAACATAAGCAGTTATGAAAATGCGATGCCCTAAAAACACAGTATACAGCTAGCAACAAAGAGTCCTGTGGCACCTTATAGACTAACAGGTGTATTGGAGCATAAGCTTTCGTGAGTGAATACCCACTTCGTCAGACGCAAGCTTATGCTCCAATACATCTGTTAGTCTATAAGGTGCCACAGGACTCTTTGTTGCTTTTTACAGATCCAGACTAATACGGCTACCCCTCTGATAGTATACAACTAGACATTTTAAACCTATAATCCTGCTTTTTAACAAACAAGGTAAAGATATCTCTTTCAATGTAATTTTGGCAGTTACACTCACCTGCTCATATTTTCATCCATTGTAAACAAACCATAGAGAAAACAGATTAAGCCAACCACTGCTGCAAAGAACAGCATTTCTGTGTAGAAACCCAGCCAGGCAAAATAGATTCCAATCTTCTCTCCATAGTACTTCCTGCACACAAAGAATACAATTGGATAGGCAAACACACAAAGACTGCAAATCTCAAAAGGCAAAACTAGCAAGACCCAAGCAAAACTAAAGACAATGGGCCAACGTTTGACCCCACCAAATAGTAAATCCAATGATTTATGCTGTATAAATGAGATCTGAATCTAGCCCATAAATGAGAGCTACAATGAACAAGCACAACACATGGACCTTATTTAGGGAACAGATGAAGCTACCCCTTGCTTTCCCTTCAAGGAATACCTTGCTTAAGGAACTCTTTCCCCCACTCTCAATGAAAATACAGATTTACCTGTGTTATGCACCAAAAGGGGATAGCAGAGTATAAAATTTAATGGTTCATAATGGCTCCAAATGGATCATTTTAAAAGAACTGGATATTTATCATAACACAGGCAACAAGGTGTGTTACTAAAGGAACTAATGGACTAAGGGGACATTGATTGAATCTCAGGCAGGTTTATGCTGGGTTTTAGGCTTACTTAGAGTTAAGTTTCAAGTTCAGATTCAATGTGCCAAAATCTCATTGACTGTTCTTGAAACATTTCTACTTTAAGCGGTGAAAGAGATCAACTGATTTTACAAAATACCTGATACTCCTCATAATTTTTTTTCTGCATCTGAAGCAGATCTGGAAAACTGGCCCTTCTACATTTGGCTGGCTTGAATGGCTTTGGATCTGAGGTAGAGTTTTGCCGTCTCTAATAAAACATACACTGTACTCTCAGCACATGTGCCTGTTTAGGCACCTGTTTTTCCTCAAACATTAGAAAGGAATAAAAAATCCCCAGGAGGAATAAATCACAAATGAATGCAGTGAAAACCAGTGAAATGTGGCCAAGTGCAATGAACACTTCACAGCCCATATCTTACCTAATGAGATCCAAAGGCTGCTCCTTGTAAAACCGTAAAAACCTGGCCCATTCCATGTACAATGTGTATCTCTCATTGTCACAGTTTGGATCATTTGCCTTCTTCCAGTATTGGCACTGTGTGGATGTGCACAGATCAGAGGAGAGACAAAGAAACTCATCAGTAGATTAACACATTACACTAAAATATGCAAATCTTAACAACAACACATCCTGGGTGAGTTTTAGGGCCAGCTAAAATTACTTGGTGCTCAACATCATAACTCAACCCAAGAATAGCCCTTTCAACACACAATATTTTAAAATATATGGACCCATAGACCACTTGTCAACATGAAAGGCCTGCATACATTAGACGTTAAGGAAAATTGCACTGATATAGCTATTTAGTGTAAACTCTTAATGTAGGGATGCTGCACTTCTGGAAAATGGGCCTTGCACTTCTGATTTCTTCTAGTAAGTTACTGGAGTAAGTTGCAGTGGTACAAGCCATGTTTTACATTGGTGTAGCCTGTCTACATTAGGAGGTTGCAGTGATGAAGCTACATCAGTGAAAATTTTCCTGATGTAGATGAGCCCCAAACAATCCCCACCTCATGAAACAGACTCAAGTCCAAATCCCTTGTAGGTCAGATTCAGGCTCTTGTGATAAATTCCGTAATCAAGGGCCTTCCACTGAGAGATGCAAAGATATACACATAACACAACGTAAAGCTATTTTCTGTTTCTTCAGAGATTGTTATACTGTGTTTATCACTGCAGTTTCTGAGGCTATAATGCAAACATCCTCTAAAATAAGACTGCCACACTAATTCATTTCAATGGTAGGCTGTCCTTTCACAGATTTTCCTATTGTATGACAGAATACTAAGAATAAGAAGAGTTTTCTGATCATTTCAGCTTCCTATGAAATGAATAGGATGGAAGGACTGGAATGCTGTCAATGTTTTTATTGCATTTCTTAAAGCCCCAGCTCCTGGAGTCACATGACTATAGGTATGTCTACATTCTGAGTTGGATGTGTAATTCCCAGCTCGAGGAGACATACCTGCACTAGTTGTAATTGAGCTAGTTCACTAAAAATAGAGTGTAGCTACATGGTATAAGCGGTGGGAGCAGCTAGCCGCCCTGAGTACAATCCCATCCAAGACCCTAGGTACACACTTGGGGCAGCTAGCCCCTCTTGGGGCTCACACCTCCACAGCTATACTCTATTTTTAGTGCACTAGCTCAGTCACAGCCAGTGGCAATGTCTCCTTGAGCTGGGAATCACACCTCTAGCTCTAGACATTCCCTTATTGAGAATTTCTGCTTCTGTTTTTTGGTTTTTTTTAAAGGCTTCATTGTTTGTTCAGAAAAAGCATGAAAATATGACCCAAGGGCACCCTACTGGTTCAAAAATCAGAAAGTAAGTTAAAAAGAACCCCAAATATTATATTTTAAATAGCTCATGATTTTTAAGTCAATGTCATGATTCTGGGAGCCTCACTCAATTTTCAAACTCTTGAGGTTGCTAATACTGGTATTGTGTGGAAAGGCATCAAAATTGTATTTTGGCACCACTGCTGTTATTTATTATTATTGTTTGTGATGTTGCCCACAATGTATTTGCTGCTTGCCAAGCATAAAAATGGCACAGGTCCTACCCTGCCAAGCTTAAAATCTGAAAACCACCAGAATTCCCATTCACACAAGTAGCTGGCATCATTCCTTTCAACAGAAGTTTCTGGTTTTCAGAGTCTTTCTTTCTCAGATTTGTCTTGTGACAGAAACTTATCAAAGGAGTGTCAAAAACAAACAAGGAAATTAAAAAATAAACAAGTGATTTAAAATGCCACTAGGCATCATAATTATCCTCAAACAATTATTAAAAAACAAATAAGGAATTAAATTAGAGCCTCACAAAAACAATAAATTAAAAATACTACTAGGAGGTAAACTTCCAGTGTAATACACTGGTATTTAGTATCAGAGGGGTAGCCGTGTTAGTCTGAATCTGTAAAAAGCAACAGAGGGTCCTGTGGCACCTTTAAGACTAACAGAAGTATTGGGAGCATAAGCTTTCGTGGGTAAGAACCTCACTT